GGGTGGTTGGTTCTGTTGTTGGTTGGTGGGCTTTGGGGACTTGCTGGGGTTATAGGTTCTAAACGCTTGGATTGGACAAAGTTCTTATGAACTAGCTCCCCTAGGTCCTATTAGGTTCCAAAAAGCAGTATCCTGAGTGCTTATTTAGTAGTTGAGCCTCAGGCTTTCGTTCAGTATTACAGATTACTATCATAAAACCGGGTTAGCATCATTTGCCTTACCGTAAGAATCGGAACCATTCAACCTTGCGTTTGGACGTTGGAGTTGCCTCTCCCGGCGAGGCATGTTATATTTTTATCCTTGTTTGCCATAGCGGAGGGCTGAAAGGGAGTTCTTCTCAGGGTGGATCCCCCCCTTCTCCAAAAAGAGGAATCCTGGACCTCCTAGCGTGGCTCAATTATTCAATTATTCCAGTCCTTACTATACTTGTACGGAGTTCCTGAGGTTTCGGGGGGCACAGTGCGAGCCCAGCCTACTAATTGGAAACGGGATGGGGTTAGCTTTAAAGACGCTTCTTAGACACGGGGCTCAGCTGGGGTTATTATTACTGTTATAGCAACCATCACCGGTTTCATACTTCTGCTTTAGCACCCTCAATGAATGCGATGGGAATACTGTACCCTTACATTGAATAGCACAAGCGAGGTGTCACAGCCACTTCCCCGGGTGGTGATGTAGTCTGCCGTCCCTCGGGGCCTCGAATAGTGGCCTTTGTTATGTAGGGTACCGTTCGGGTTCGAGACCCATATTGTAACGTATAATATCGGATGGAATCACACGATACCTCATGATTTTGAGCGGTTGAGGCCCTGCGAATTTTTAACCGGGACTCGGCTTAGCTTGCGGAACCCCTGCGCCCACATAAGCCCCCTCTCGTTTTCGGATACGAGATGCCCCTACTTTACTAGATCTAGGGATCCGCTAGCGAACAGTTTCAGTAGAGCGACCAAACAAAACGTCCAGAAGTCCGTTGATGATATCACCCCTTCTACCTTGTTCAGGCTCAGCACCATTTCACTTCTATTCAACAAGCAAGCTGGATTGGAGTGAGTATCCGCAGGGGGGTCATAATTTTCTCTCTCTCGGAAGTCCCCGAGCTACCGTACGTGAGTGCTGACCCCAGAACCTTGCATGAGGGGATGTATTATACCCTGACTGGTAGGATTGGACACACAGCTGGAGTGTGTCAAATGACAGCTGGGGCGACTACGAGCAGATGACACGGAAAATGCAAGGTACGCATTGAGATTGCCCAAGTGATTCATGTCCGAACCCAGAGTTACGCTGCCAATACTCGAGCACTCGAGAATGGGGCGTATGACCTTTGTATTGGCCGAGCTTGACAATAAGGTTGCTAAATATAGCAGCCGTCGCAGACCAGCCCAGAGCTCTGGATGTGTATAAGATAGGGAGATATGACCCGAGCTGGCTGGGTGCCGACCTCCCGGGCCGTGTGCGACCAGTGAAGGGTGGTGAATACTGGTAGCTATGATATTTCGGTATCAACAGATAGTTTAGAGGAAATGGGATACCGGTACTAGCGGTAGGCTTAGGTTTTTGTCGGTACGGTGGTCCGGCGGGGGAAGGGCTGGCTACCGTAGCTACCTTCCAAAATAGCTGCTGCAGACCACGCATCGCGCTTGATGCTCAGGGAAATCGCAAGTTAACGTCAGGAACGGCTTAGCCCATCCATTGTCCTTCTTGGCCACGCCAAGACCCCAAGACCGGATCCGGGTAGAAATGAACGGTGGCCCAGCAGCATGACAACCAATATGGCATGCATAATTCATCTCGGCAGAAAATCTTGCGAATTCAGCAGTGACCTTCATAGACTTGCTGATGACCCTAAGATGAGCACATTAAGAGCTGTTTTTTTTACCAAAAGATAGAATATAATCAATATGCCTATCATCGAACCCAGGAAAAACGTGAAGACGCAAACAACCTTAAATTGACGGGCGATCAAAGTTAAATTCAACGTCTTTCGCAGCACATCGTTGAATCAATTCTTGCGAGGCCGGAATGTGCTCTCCCCACCTTACGACAAACCCCACTGAACTCAGTGGAGCCAAGAGGGAACGAGTAAAAACACTTCTTGGAAGTGTAAGGTGAGAACGCTGGCACTATTCGAAGTACCTCGGACTGTTATTGAGACGTCGGTGAGCTATCACCAAGAATAGCTGTGGGTGAAGATCAGAGTTAATCAACAAGACTAGGAACTCGGGAAGGGCGATTTTTAGCGGGTCTTGGTATTACCTCTTCTACCCAAGTATTATATCCTGGCCTGTGTCCATTGCTTGGGCAGCCGGTATAGTGTGAACTAATCAAGTATCGAACTAAGAAAACTTTCTTCTTCTTCTATATTTCGTCACCCGAGATGGCGTTATACTAGGGTGGAACAAGAGCTCGAGTCATTGGTTGAATTGGAGGAGTGAACAAAGGTTAGGAAAGGTGTGTGATACTGTAGAAGTATCATTTCCGAAAAAAAACATGCCAAAGTTTCGGAGTTATGAAATAAAGGCATCACACTCTCTCGAGTCTTTTTTTATATACTACTTAGTGGGATATTTTTGATCGGCTAAGGGGGTGCAGGCTAGCTTCTGCCCTGGAAATGCTCTCCTCGACAGATAATCAGTGGGTTCACGGGATAACTGGTTCTATGGTGCGGTTGAGGTGGTGGTTCCCGTTGTGTTGTATCACACACACAATCGTCAACTCCGAGTCGGATATGGCGGGTGAGATCACTGACCTGACGATAGCCTTGTGCGACGAATTCTTCATCCTCCGATTAGTGAGTTCCACACCGGCTCCATTTCAAATTTTTTTTTTCACATTGCTATTGATATGTGGAGTCGTTAAAGTGAGTTAACATGACCTAATATTCGTTTGCACCTTCTGGCTGAGCGCTAGGTCCTAGCATAAATACGCGGGAACCAGGTAGCGCTAAAGGGCGGAACTGGCCTTGCTCGCAAGATAATGATGACGATGTACAAGTACGATTACAAGTACTGTACTTGTGTATTGCGCTCTCGAGGGATTAATGAGTTGATTCTAGCGCAAGTGTGGAGTCGGAGACTCTCGAGCGAGAACACCATTTATTGAGTAAATAGGGGCTCTGATGGAGTGCAAGGCTCAATCAGTACAGTAGGAGAACGCCGGGGATCGACCTCTTGGCAAGAGCCGCCTCACTCCCGGAAGTGCGATACAGGACCCCATTTTTAAATATTGCACTTATATTGCACTACGCTGCAACGAGCCTCCGTGATAGACACGGTTGGGATAAATCGAAAACTGGATGAAAGGGGTCGGAGAGTACCACCATAAGTCCCACTAGCAATCAATTTAGAAAGTCTGTTTGGGGCAGGTCCGGTTCGAGGTCTTGCATAAGGCAATTGATTTAATGACTGAAAATATTTACCCCAGTTTAACCTAGGAGACAGCACTGCCAGGGCATCATGCGGTAGAAAGCTGGTAATCGTACGGTACCTGAATGACTAGAGCAAATATATCCTAGGAGAGATTACAGAACAAGGCATATCGCTTATCGTGCACGCATGTGGGTAATAGGAAGAACCTTGTTACTCTACTTCTAATATCCTGCCGATTTTTAGCTCCTTGATCTGGAAGAGAGGAGCTGGGTAAGTTGCTAGAGATTAAAATGCTGCTCCAGGAAAAATAAAGAATAAGAAGATTTTAGGCTTGGTCATAAGGTAGCGGCTAAGTCTCATAGCGTAGTGGGAACTTCTCCCTTTCTGCATAGCAAGTGGATGGGTCTTTTTTGTTTTCCCCCGGAGACCTGAGTATCAATCGAATTGGCATCGGTAATTACTCCATTTTTCACAGCTTTTGCAAAGCCGAAATAATCTCGTGGGAGTTCACTCCGTTGGCATATTTGGGTTGTCTGATTGCGGAATGTGCGGTTGTCCAACCAGGTATTGTACGGTATTAGTATTATTACTTTTCCGAGATGAGAAGAGTACGAGCCCACCGCTTTGACTACCAAGCATACAGTGCCCTACATGCTGTTGTCTCAGGACACCTTGAGGTGTAAGGCTGGGTGGACGCGGGCCGTATCTCCCTCTGCACTCAATCATTTATGAGTGAGCACGTCACACAATAAGCTTCCGGACAAGTTTCTGGCGGGAAATATGCGGGGGCGATACGGCTCTGGCTCCCAATACTCTAGACTTACCTTGTAAGGGTTCTACGGTATGAGCTCTATCCGTCCCCCCTGTGTTTAACTTAGGTCCTAGTGGTTGGTGACGGGGGCTCCGATTGCATGTGAAATATCCTTGAAAGTTTCTACTGATCTGGGGGTGGGGCAGGCTCGATAGGCTGGAATCCGGTGGGGGATTCACAAGGTGTTGGGGTGCATAGTTCGTAATACTGTGATATGGTGATCTCTGTCACTTACTCGTACGAAACCTCTACGGTAGGAATGAAATCAGTGTATTGACTCGGTTTGAAGTAGGCATGTAAGGCTCTACCAAATCTTCAGCCTCCCTTGCCTCGTGCCAGGGGAAGTAGGATTGAAAGTCTTGGTGATTCGTGTTCGGTGTTGGGATACGGCAAGTATTTGTTCCTGCTTTACACTATGTGTGACCGGGAGAGGTGTGATTCTCAGCTCTCGAGACCAGGACGTCCCACATTACAAGGCCAAGGCCCAGACGAGGCAATAATCGACTCTGGCCCCATTGGGCCGGTTGTCTGATTGGATGATTCATGTCTCACCGGAACGCCATGGAGGGGCTTGACGAGATATCCGGCGGGCTAGCGGTATCGATTCAGAGCACTAGTACCGTACTCTGTTGCTCTGGTACTCACTAATTTCACCAATAACACATGTACCGCTGCCCCCCGGGCCAATACACAGTTAAGAAAAGTGAAATCTATATAAGTCTGCCCAATTCCCATGAAGTTTGAACTCCAGCAGCTTTCAGAGTAGCGATTCGCAGCTCCATTATCCTTTCCCGCACTGAGCGTCCGGAAATTCGCATACGATGCATCTATCCCTTGGCCTCACGGCATTGCTCGCCTTTGGCGTTCAAGCCCTTCCATCTGAAATTCGTGCGAGAGAATATGGCGGATGTACGCATTCTCCTACATCCAGACATTGTTGGGATTCTACCACCGACATCCATACGGACTATTCCACTACCTGGCCCAATACCGGAGTCACTCGTGAGGTAGATGGCTCCTTCGAAGTCTCGACGGCTGCTGTTTGAAGCTTAGGCTAACAGTAACTATAGTACTGGTTGATTCTTCAGAATGTAACCTTGGCGCCCGACGGCTTTGCTCGAACCATGTTGACTTTCAACGGGACCTATCCGGGACCTCCGATCACCGCAGGTAAGGAAATTTGATTACGGGCTCGCAGGAAAATTGTGCTAACGAGTGTTTACTTTTAGACTGGGGCGATATGGTCAAGATCCACGTTACCAATGGTTTGGCCCACAACGGGTGAGTTAAATACAACGCCTTTATGGCGTGGTCTTATAGATAGCTAACAGTTTACAGAACGTCTATTCACTGGCACGGAGTCAGGCAGTTGAATACCTTCCAAAATGATGGTGTGAACGGAGTCACTCAATGCCCCCTTGCTCCGGGAGAAACTCAGACCTACACCTGGCGTGCAACTCAATACGGAACATCATGGTATCACTCCCATTATGCTGTCCAATACGCCGAGGGCCTTCTAGGCCCGATAATCATCAATGGGCCAGCCAGCGCAAACTATGATGTAGATTTGGGCGCCGTAATGGTCAACGATTGGTATCATAATACCGCGTTCTCCACCTGGCATTATGCCGAAACGGTGGGACTCCCGCAGGCGCAGAATGGGTTGATTCACGGCCAGAACGTTTTCGGATCCGGTGGATCCCGTTGGACCACCACCTTCATCCCCGGGAAGAAGTACCGCTTGAGGTTCATTAACACCGGCGTTGAAGCCGCATTCCGTATATCAATCGACGATCATAAGCTCAAGGTTATTGCCGCCGACTTCGTCCCCATCACCCCTTATACCACTGATTCCATCCTGATCGGCGACGGGGAGCGATACGATGTCATCGTTGAGGCAAAGTCTCACTTTACTTCTAACTCCACCTTTGCCTCTAACTCCACCGGTGCTGCCGACTCGAAAAGCTTCTGGCTCCGCGCAACCGTGCAGACGGCCTGCAGCACAGGCGTCGACAACCCCCTCAACATCAAGGGCATAATCCGGTATGCGGGGGGTGCGACCAGCGGCGACCCAACAACTACTGGCGTGACGATCCCGCAGAACTGCGCCGACGAGCCCATCTCCAGCCTCGTGCCCGTTGTGCCCAAGGCGGTTCCTCAAGTCGACCTCTCGGGAGCGCAGAACCTCTTCTGGGGCCTCCAACGTACCCCCGTCATCAGGTGGACATTGGGCGGCGTGTCGACCCGCGTCGACTGGAACCATCCCACCCTTCAGCTCCTTCAGTCCACCGGAACCTACCCGCGCGAGTACAACATTGTCGAGTTACCCGAGGAAAAATGGTACTACTTTGTCATCGAGGAGACGGGTGTTCGCTTCGCGCATCCTCTCCATCTTCACGGTCACGATTTCCACATCTTGTACCAGGGTAATGGCACCTTCAATGCTACTGAAGCCTCCCTCGGTGCGCGATGGTCCAATCCCCCACGCCGTGATGTTGCGATGTTGCCCGGTCAGGGTTATATGGTTATCGCTTTCGAGGCTGATAATCCGGGTATCTGGGTTCTCCATTGCCACATTGTAAGCTCCCTCTCACCCTACCAACCGAAACAATTTGTAGCAGAGCTAACCATTCCGATCAAAAAAAAATAGGCATGGCACGTAAGCGCAGGCTTCGCGCTCCAATTCCTCGAGCGCCAAGACGATATCGCCGGCGTGGACAATTCGACCCTGAACGACATTTGCTATGACTGGAGCACGTACCAGTCTTCGGCGACTCATTACCAGGAGGATTCTGGGCTCAAGAAGAGGGAGTTTGATTCGATTATGTGAAGGAATTTTTATTTTTTTTCAACAAAATCCTTTTAACTAGAGGGGCTTTACATTTGTTATTTAACTAGGGGTTTTTTTATTTTTAATATTTATTTCTTTTAAATTGCTCGCGAATCTATGATCTCTTCAACTACCGTATCTTCTAACTTAGGATGCTAATCTCGAGTGCGAGCAAATTTGAGAAGGTTTTTCTGTGATGATCCGTCTGCATATCCTAGCAATCAGAATCTTTGATACAGTTCCGTATCGTATAGTACTGTACGAGTACTCGTACAACCTGTGTGTGAATGTTTGAGCATGTGTCTAGCTGATATTGGCCCCCCGGATTTCCGAGTGAGGAGGTTGCTTAATTCTCGCTGGTTGAGACGGCAACGGGTCACACAGGTTAGGGTTCTTGTCTCAATCAAGAGATAACGCAACCTTAGTTCTAGCTAATGTTCCAGCCAAGCTAGTTAATAACAACCCGCAACCAACCCCTAGCCCTCATTTATCCTTTGTTGTCAACTGTGGTCGCAATTGAGCCGTGGACTTTTGCATTCAGCAACAAAAATCATAAGCAAAGAGAGCCTCCATTCATGATCGGCATACAAACTCTGTGCCCATTAAGATTTTCAAGTAGCTAACAGTAACCCGGAACTCGGAAATCCCACTTTTTCAAGTTTCCTTGTTGTCGCAGTAAAACACAAGCACCGTTGTCACAGAGACAGCGATTCCGAACCTTGCCTTGCGAAATCCCCTTTCCTGTCTCTACCGACATCTCTTTCGATAGGAACCCCTGTGACTCCCACTGTCTAAGAACTTGAATCATTGGACGGTGTGCTACAGTATGCCGTCGGGTTTTCCTCTCCCAGTAAGGTCAAGAGATCTTGTCTCGGAAGGGGGAAAGGGGCTGTGTCTTTGCTGTGTTTTCTTTTTCGCTCCCTCTCCAGAGAGGGGAATTTTGAACCACATTGCACTGTCCAATTACTCAAGTTCTTACGGTACTCAGGTACTACTTGTACCTGTACACTACTGTTGCATCCTGCGATACGGTCCTTTTTTTAAGTACTACGTTACCGCAATAATTCTTTACTAGCACAGTACCTCGTACACTTATAATTGGGTACTCATGCCGCAACTGCAACGGCACCGAACTTCCGATTCCAGCCTAGGAACGGTAGTTTGCCCGAGACATTGGATGGGGATATGAGGTAAGGAAAAGCGAAGGGACCTAGACGTGACCTCGCGATCGGCGGGTGTGGTGGTGCAACTGAGTGTGATGTCTTCGAGGAAGGCAGAATACGAGTGGTGGTACCTGTACTATACTCGCAGCACGGGATAGGAGGCTATCGTGTGCAGCACAGATCAGGACTGCTGACCATCTATGCTTCTTAGTTATACCGCAGTTCTACCGTCATTTGCCTGATCTGCTGCCTGGTCGGATGAATCAATAAAGTGTTTTGTATCCCCCTTTTTTTTTGGGTCGTGATTTCTGCACTGTGGTCTCTGTTGGGAGTGCGGTGGTGCAAAAAGCCGGCGGTGAGGTGGATTTAGTAGGGACCGGAGGCAGCTCCACACCAATTTTGGGAATATTAGTGGTTAGAATCTGGGATTGGCTCCTGCACAGGACCTGAGCTGTAGTTAGAGTTTATCTACCGTCGGTAAAAATACGGTACTGGTACGATGGTTTGGTGATTCCACTCCGGACCGGGAACTCAGATAGGATGAGGTTGAAGCCTCTGCAGCAGAAGCGAAAGCGAAGAAGATGCCGGAATGCCTCGGAAGCTTCTGCATTTTTATCTGCATTTACAGGTTGAAAAGGGAGAGAGGTTTGGGCCGGCGTTGTTTGGAAGGTTGTTCGGCGGGACTTCGGGGGTGGGGGGGGGGGTTGGTGAAAGTCTGCCATGTTCTATAACACATGTGATTCGGTCTTTCGGGAGAGGCATGCAGAAGACGGTGGTTCTGGGGTTGTGATTTATTATCCATAGGTCCGGTCTCCTGTTTTCTGCAGGTCTATTCTTGCAATCAGGCACCACCGGAAGTTGGAATTCCCCATAGCGCAACAATTGCTTAAGAAGATCGCTTATGGTGTGCCCCCTGCGTAACTATTGCATGCATGTAAGGGTTGTTTAAATAACCCGGTCCTGCTACAATATTACCAGTACTGTAATTTCACGGGCCCTGGTTCTGGAATACTTGTACGAGGGGGGGGAAAGAAGTAGTGCGACACAGTAGCAACCGCTTCCCACAAGATCGCAACTCTACTCCCAACCCCCATCACTACAATACTCACTATATCCCCCACCATGTGCCAAACCATTTCAGAAAAGCACTATGAGGGTAAATGGAACCCGCAGAAGTGAGTGTAAGTAGTTTAATTAAATGAATATGTACATAAAGTTGAAATAATAATAAAATTAAATGATTTAGCAATTAGTCCACGAAATCTTGAGCGGCGGCGATCGTAGACGAAGAAGCGACAGCGCTTTGAGCGGGAAACCACACATGATGACCGGATCTGTATTATTGCTCTCCGAGAAATGGTGGAGTGGTCTTTCAGAAAGATAGCTGCTGAATTGGAGGAAAAAATAGACCTTAAAGTTCACCATAGTACCTGTGCTCGCATCTATCAACGGTATCGGGAAACAGGTAGTCCTTCCAACTACCAGCGAACAGGAAGACCTCCAATCTTCCAGGAGTCTGATCTACTTGATCAAAAGTCTTTTATTAAAGAAAATAAAAGAAATAGAAGACTTGTAACCGGTACGGGTACTCGGTTATTGGTTTTGTTTTATGTTTTGTTTTAAGTATCGCTTTGATACTTGGTTTGTTTTAAGTATCGTTTGATACTTGGTTTTGTTTTATGTTTTGTTTTAAGTATCGCTTTGATACTTGGTTTGTTTTAAGTATCGTTTGATACTTGGTTTTGTTTTATGTTTTGTTTTAAGTATCGCTTTGATACTTAAGAAGTTTTACAAAAGTGTATCGCTTGATACCTTTGATTAGTTTCGTTCATGCTAGACATGAACAGATTTGTGTATTTAAAGACCGCCTGTTTCTACGATAGAAAAGGCAGACTTCGACAGACAGTATTTCAATATACTTGGTTGAACGGTTACTTCTTTGTTCCCCAGTACACCCTCGAAGCCTCCTTTAGTTCTCAGCTCTCGCCTCCTCTCTGGAAGAGCAGGCCACCTGTAACGTGTTCGCAAGGTGCTAATCACGTTATCGATAATGGATACGATAGTTCGCAGGTGGCCTGCTCTTCCAGAGAGGAGGCGAGAGCTGATAACTAAAGGAGGCTTCGAGGGCGTACTGAGGAACAAAGAAGTAACCGTTCAACCAAGTATATTGAAATACTGTCTGTCGAAGTCTGCCTTTTCTATCGTAGAAACAGGCGGTCCTTAAATACACAAATCTGTTCATGTCTAGCATGAACGAAACTAATCAAAGGTATCAATCGATACACTTTGGTAAAACTCTTTAAGTATCAAAACGATGCTTAAAACAAAACATAAAACAAAACCAAGTATCAAACGATACTTAAAACAAACCAAGTATCAAAGCGATACTTAAAACAAAACATAAAACAAAACCAAGTATCAAACGATACTTAAAACAAACCAAGTATCAAAGCGATACTTAAAACAAAACATAAAACAAAACCAAGTATCAAACGATACTTAAAACAAACCAAGTATCAAAGCGATACTTAAAACAAAACATAAAACAAAACCAAGTATCAAACGATACTTAAAACAAACCAAGTATCAAAGTGATACTTAAAACAAAACATAAAACAAAACCAATAACCAAGTACCCGTACCGGTTACATTCCCCAAAACAAAACAACTGTTTAAACAAACAAAAACCTAATAATCATCAAAGGCGGATTCCGAGAAACTCATGGCTTCAGTTTCCGCCAAAAATTCTTCATCATAGGTATCACACCAAGGACAAGAAGAAATTCTAAGGAAACATTTAGACTCAAAGAAATCTAAATCACAGTAGTCACGAATACCAGATTCATGCTGTACGTCAACCCAAGTGTGATCACAATCAGGACAGTAGTCAATCCAGAGAATTTCGAAGTAGTCTTCAAGTTGGATAACATCGCGGTTCAACAACAGTCCAACAACCTGTTGTCGCTGCCTCACATTGAGTTCCACATAGTTTGACATAGTTATGGTATTCGGATGGTGATTGGTGACTAGATAAGGTTGTCGAGGGCCTGCTCCATAGCTTGATTCTCTTCATCGCTGCTTTCAAACTCCGACTCAAAGTGTGGTGCCCAAAATCCATCTCTAGCTTCGAGTTCTGCGTGCCATCGCTCAGTTTCTGGCATTGTAGGTGTCCAGCACATGGTGATATAATTGATTGTTGGGGGGAGGGATTCGTTTGGCATGTTGTCTTTCCACCATTTGTTCACCATATCCATAGCGTGCTCTAGTCCCTCTAGTGGTTCCCAACTGTTTTCGCTCGTCGGATATCCTTTCCACTTGACTAGGAACTGATCGTTTCCATGCCAAAGGCGGTGGTCTCGGATTTCTTCAACTGCCCATTCGTCTTTCTTTTCAATGATGATAGGTGCGGGTCGAGAGTGGGTTCTTCCGGGGAATTTGGAGTCGTCATTTGGGTGGAACCATTTGACAGCAGAAGCGTGAAAGACTGCATTATTGCGGCGGTACATGCGTCCATCCATCTGGACAGTGTAGTTCTCTGTGTGCTCGTCAAAGGATATGACTTTGAAGGGTCCACGCCATCGGGGTTGCAGTTTCTTACTGCGTCCAACATTGGTAATAAACATGTTACTGTGTACCATGAGCATGTCTCCTTCTGGGATCGGGATATGTTTGCGTCGTCGTTTCTGGGCAGTAGTGGTGCTTCGGAATCGGGCTACCTTAACAGCTTGGAAGGCATCGTTCCGAATTGCTTGGTGGCGGTTTAGATGGTCATCGGAGGCAGGGACTGAGGAGTTCTTGAATAGAGTTGTAGGTAGGAGAGGGTATTGGCGGCCAAAG